CACAAGCCTTGACACTTGCATAGGATTTAAACTGTTTTGTGGGCAAAGCTACATCCGTTCCAGGTTTCAGACACACTCTCTGTAACCATGGTCAGGCCACAGGCAGGGAAGAACTACAGATGACAGACATTCACTGGGAAACAGCCTCAGCGATCGTGTATGGACTCTAGACTTCATCTATACTCTGTATTACTCACAAATCTGGGTGAATTTTTGTCCATTCTTCTGTAGGCAGTGCTGTTCTGTCCCATGTCACTTCATCTGCCACATCCTGATTGTCTGAAGACCCACACATGGTTTTCATGTCAAGCATCTGGCAGACTCTAATCATTTCTGCTCTTTTCTCTCTTGTCCAAACAAAAGGTTACATATTTTATTATTTCCCTCTTAGTTTGAGAATAGTGTTTTCAGAAAGCCAGATGGGCTGATTGGTTTTCACAAGTCATCTAGTGTTCTCTTTCTTCGTAGATTATCATGTAAGCGGTGTCAAATTGGCCCACAATCACTTGTGTGTAATCCCCAGACTTAGAACTTCAACTTGACTGTTCTTTTTAACACAGGCCCCAGGGAAAACTGGCTCGTACCAACACAGATGCTTCTGATAAAAAAATGCCAGTATGCCAATTTAATTGTTAAAATGTGAAGAGGAAGTGACTAGTACAAAAAAATTATAAAACATCTACATAAACTACTTTTTAAAGAAAAACTTCCCCTTAAATTTGCATATCATAAGGGAATTAGAATACATTATTATTCCTTTTTTTCATTTTCCAGAGCAGAAAACTGAGGCTCTCACTACTTAACAATTACCTACAGTCTCTTAAAGGAAACTGAAAGAGTTGTGACATAGCGTTCAGTGTAGTTAGAACACAGAGCATGGAAACTTTAATGTCTATATGGCTCAGTGAAGTCATGCATGCTACAGTTAAGGAAACTCAGTAATAACAACTCACAATGCCAGGCTAGACAGCTGATTCTATAAGAGTTTAGAGCAATTTAAATTGATAGTGATCGTGGTATTTATTCTTTTTTATTTTAATTGTTGTGTATCTTTTAGATATATAACAGATGAGGAATATGTACTTAGAGTATTTGCTATAACGAAATGAATTAGCAAATACAGTATTTAGTATGATAAGAAAATCATGACATCATTTGTATTAAAATTAAGATTTTTGGAAACAAATGTATTTTCTTATGGAAAGAGCAATTATTAAGCAAAAGCCTGGAATTTAGTGTTTGGTTCACGTGGTCTCCATGTGGTGCATTAGCTCTTTGGGTTTGCTCACCTTAAATACTTGCTGCTTTGGATTCTTAGTCTTGCGTTTACCCAATCCCTCTCTGTCTCTGACACTGGGTCAGAGAATAGTATTTTCAAAAGATTAGCTTTCTAATGTACTGGAGGAGGAAGGTAACTGAGGTGTTGATATAAATGGTTCAGAGTATGTGCCAAGAATCTACACTACACTGTCTGCATGCAAAGATCAGTTCAAACTGTCTTGGAATTTACTTGTCAGCCATGGAACGAGACTTCACAATATCAATTGAACTTAGTTCTACACTTTAAAAATGAACTGTACCAACAATTGCTCATATTTTTCTTGTTTTTAGCTTACAAAGTAAGTTGTTTTTTTTTTTTTTTTTTTTGTCAAAGTGTTTTATCAGGTTTTGTCTTTTGGTAGCAATTGAAACACAGATAAAATAATATTCATCTATTAGGGTAAATATTCATTTTTCATTATTAATTTCAATGTCATCTATGTTGATATTCAAATTATAATCTAAACATGAAGATAAGGTATTAGTTACTTCTCTGTGATTGGCAACAAGTACCTAACATTACAGCTCCCTAGAGTGAAGATAGATTTGGGCTCACACTTCAGAGAAAGCTTAGTCCATCATCACCGAGTAGAAGGCAAAGCATTCAGAACACAGGTGGTGCTGGTCACACCATGGCCAGGGACCTAGAAGCGGAATACAGATGGAATCTAGGGTGGATATAACCTTTAAAGGCTACCTCTACCGACTTACTTTTACCAGGAAATCCCATGAAAAGATTATAGAGCCAGTTCCAATCACAAAAAGCATGTACTTTCTATTGGGTCAATTTTGTACTCATAGAAAGAATGAACATACTAGCCACATCTACCATCATAATCATTTGTATTGCTCCTGAGCAAAAATCATTTACAGCTTATATATTTTGTCTCGTAATTTAGCATCAGTTTCATTCTACTCAATAAATAGTATAAAAATGATTGTTCAGACACTCAGATAATCTGTATAAATTCAAATAATAAGAATAAGAATAATTACTGATAGACAAGCATTCTATTATACCATGAGAAGGACAAGGAGTTCGCCTTATTTTCAATTTTGGGATAACTCTGGGGGAAAAGGTACTTAGGATAATACTAGCTGTCAAAGTTTATGTATATTATATCATGTACTTAGCAACATAAATATCACTGAGTATTAGCTCTTTTCAGATACATATTTCTTGGGAAAACTTCTGATAATAAATTGGCTTCAATGTTCAATACTTTGAAGATTATTGTGTTACAAAGCCAAATTCTTTCGTAAAATTACATATCCATTTATCCTACTCATATAGATTATGATTGGAATTTTAAAAATCAAACAAATTTATAAAATCAAAGTAAAAGTCACCTTTACTATTATCTATAGAATATCTCATCCATGAATCGAATATTATAAAGCATAGTTTTGTTATTGTCTTTTAGCATTAGGGGTAGAGTTGTTGCTTCCTAATTTTTTTACTTAAGTACTATGGCCCGTGTTTTGTATTTCTTTTTGCTTTTAATAACTAAGGGATGGTACCATTTTGTCCTTTCCCCCAACTTTATTGACATATAATTGACAAAGAAAAACACATTTGTTTAATGTATGCAAACCTCTCTGTGTTTAACTCTTACACATGAAAGAGCTTGTCATGGAGAGTATTCATGGACTATTTTATGTGATAAATAATAACATGTTAAAGGCAACTCATTTGTGACTACTTGAAAGTAGCATAAGGGTTATGCTAGTAAAGATGTAATGTTGCTTCCTCTTCCACCATGAAAAGTCGTTATTAAAACTACCGTGTACATACATTAGTCTACAAATATTGTTAGCACAAGTAGATGACCACAATGACAGATTCTACAGAGACAATGAAAGTGCAAAATTCACTACAAATTGACAAAATTATTACTGAAAAGTTTCTGCACCCCAATAAGCCTCTCCTCCGAGGCAATAGTCCAAATCAGACCAAATCAGCCCGAATTAGACAAAGCCCAGGTTTAATGGATACAAAGGCTCCCAGATGACTTTTCAGCCCCCCAGAGAGGAGACAGGAAAGGAAGAGCAGAAAAGCACATGTTTGTTCTCTGGGGTGAAGTTTAAATGCCTTGTGATGTGGTTTTGAGCATCTCTGGGAAGGGGTCATCATTGGGTGGGCTTTCTTCCTGGCTGAGTCTGAACTGAGTCAACTCCCAGGGGAGGGGGCTTCGGATGGAACTTCCACCCAAACAATTACATTAATATATTAACAGCTAAGCTATAGAAACTCAATTTTGAATGACTTAGAGAAACTATATAAACTTTCCTAATGATTTAAATCACTTTATGTGTTAACAAACAAAGGAAACAGAAGTATATCCCAGATTATGTGGCTTTTATTACATAGAAAGTGCATATATATATATATTCATACACACACACACACATATATATATATATATATATATATATGGTGAAGAGTGCCCATGAATTTGTATGCAGAGAGAAATAAAATATACAATTGGCACCTTTATTATTTTAAAAGTTTTTTTTTCTAGCATTTAAAGATGATTATATATTCTAAAACAGTTCTTCCGGGGATGTACAATGTGATTAAATTATAATACTGTTTAGTATAATTTTTAAATTTATAATGGTTCGGGGCATATGCATAATTTATATAAGTTTAAGAAGAAAAATAGAATTTTAATCAATATAAAACCTTTACATAGTATATAGATAAAGTTATAAAGTAATAAAAAATGGTTCTTTTGAGCACTGCGACATCCCTAACACTGTTTATAAGAAAAAATGACCCCTTGAAAATCATGTCTCCCCTGTTGTTTCTGGCAACCAGGCCAGACTTCAGAGAAACCTGGGCTGTGTGTTTTGCTGGGACTGAAGGCATCCGCAGCCTGAAAAGGGAAGTGGTGAAGTTCCTTGCTTTCTGTTCCCTCTCTATCATCCATTCTCCCCCATCTCCACCCCAACCACCATCTAAACCTGGGATTAGTTGCTGGGCTGGGCTTGGGGGAGTGATTGTTGGCAGAGAGTTGAAACTGAAAACCCAGAAAGCCCCCAGGTAAATCCTCCCCAGTTCCCCCAAACACACACACACACACACACACACACACACACACACACACACACACACTCTTTTTCTCCTGCAGCTCCTGAGCCGCTGCCCACTCTCTCTTAGCCCCCAGGCAGGACAAGGGTTGGAGTTTTTCCACGCACACACATCATTTTGGTCATAATCTCCCGAATTCCTTTCTAGCTTTTTAGTTCCAGAACCCCCCTCAACTGTTGTATAGTTAAAGGCGGTGGCAAACAGCTCACTTTTCGTATGACACTCCCAAGGTCCCGAGGGCACAGTAAATGATCTCACGGGCTGATGGATGTCAGCATTCCTAGGGGTCAGCCAGAGACCCAGGAAGAGTCTTAGGCAAGGCAGGTATTGCTAGTTTTGCAGTCCTTGTAGAAGAAAACTTTGAGAGTGCACAGGGGGAGTCGAGTTGAGAGACGTTCTTAAAATGGAGAACCAGGGAACTTGATTTCCTGGTAGCTGCATTCCTCAACTGGCTTTTAAGCCTACACGCATTCAGGGCAGGGGAGGGTTTTTATTTTGCGTGTAGGGAGTCCGTAGGGAAAGCATTCTTGGCCCTCATTCCTGTTTGCCAGGATCAGATTACTTTTTACTGACTGGAGCTGGCTGGCAGGAGGCGGCTACGGGTGAGGAGGGTAGGGGGTGGGGTAGGGGTGGGGGTTAGTTTAAAATCTTTTATGTGTGTACACCTTGTGTGGTTGGGTGTGGAAAGCAGGAAAAGGGGGGTTTCCAAGTCGAGTGAAATTCCCATCCTATGGCTATTACCACGCCTGTAGGGTTGGCACGTTTTAGAGGTAAGGTAGTCGGCAAAAAAATAGCTCCAAAACACAATAGAGTTCCCCCCTCCCCTCCCTGCCTCCTTCTACTGCTCTCCCTCTCTCTCTCTCCACCTCTCTCATTCTTCTCTCTCTGGTTTTTCTGCTTCCAAACAAACACCTTCTTCCAGGCTGAAGTTGGGCTGGTCTCCCTAGGAGCAGCAGCCACAACAATCCCGCAGTTCAAAGTTAAGAAGCAATTACACAACTTCCAGCAACTCTCTCAGCCGGCTGCTAATGAGCTGAAAGCCAGGAACATCTGAGGAGGTGAAAAGGAAGAGTCCAGCCCTCCGCCTTTCACCGGAGGGACCCAGGCACCCCTCCCCAGGCCCAGATCACTCTTCCACAAGGACTGTGTTTTCTTTGCTGGCCTTACCGGACAGACTATGGCTCCCTTTGGAAGAAACATATTGAAGACGCGACACAAGAACAGGTAAAAAAAAGTTGTGTGTGTGTGTGTGTGTGTGTGTGTGTGTGTGTGTGTATGTTGGGACTAAGTTTCCTAAGTGTGAAAATATGTTTCTTTGCACTTCGATTCAGATGAAAACTGATTTGAAAGCACAAAGCCCGGAGGAGACAGCTCTAGAATGAAGAGCCAGCTCTTCAGAATCTATGTTCTGTATTGATGATGGCAATGATACTCACAAGGATCATGGGAAATCATGACCGATTTTTTTAAACTCTCTTTTCCCTTTATCGCAGTCTGAGTTGACTACAGACACCAACATTTTCTCTTTAATTTGTCCTGAACTTTGCGAGAGAGAAGAATAACAAAATATAATTTGTTTGAACACGGGTTTAGAATTTTCACTTTTCGAAAAAGCTTCAGACTTTGATAAGATGTAAGTAGAATGTCTAGCCACTTGTTAGGGGTAAAAAATACAAGGCCGATATAGTCTGGAAACAATGCTTTGGTTTTCCTGAGAGTAGGTCTTAACTAAGGTCTGGAAAGTTCCCAAATGAAAACATTCCCATAAGGAGATTTTTATGAACTTTAGATGACTTAGGCATTCAAAGAGGAGTCAGGAAGCTGATTGCCTCAGATCTTCGTGATCAAGTCAGCATTAACTGTGGTTTAAATACATATATTCAAACCGTAGATGAGAGGGGATAGGGAGAGCAAGGAATTGAATTTGAGATAATGGGATAAAATCCATATTTATATTTTAGTACTATAAACTATTTTATGTATGTCTCAAATATTACATTTTTATGCAAACAGCACAAGGATAATTTTTGAAGGCTTTATATATCTTAATTTATTTCTTTTGGCGTAGGGGCTTTCCAAACACACTCCTCTCCATTATGCCTGTTTGCGCTTGTCGTAATTTGCTTAGCGTAAATGTAAACGGTTACAATTACAAGGTAGGAAATGAGATAATTATTTTAAAGTGTCTGCACGAAAACATAGTGATACAACTTTAAAGTAATTCTTCATACTTTATTTCGAACGCAAATATCTACTTCACATATACTGTTTTTAACCCTTTCTAAATATATCAATTGCTTAGTTGACTGAATTTCTTTGAGAAATTATTTGGTACTCTGAAGCTTTCCAAAGCACTTTTATTTGCTAATAACTCAATCCTTTATGCTAAATGTGGTATTTGTGAATTAAATATGTTTTATAAAATGTTAAGGTAAGATGATAACAGTATATTTTAAAAGCTAGCGATGCATGTTAAACGAGATTTGTGTATTAATAGTGGCAAGGCATATAAAAATACTCCAGAAAGCCCACCCCAGCGGTCCACCCCCAATTCTGTTGTCTCAAAGCGAATTTTTATAGTGCCACTATTAAAGCATTTTTGCGTTTCTTAGATCACTATGAGATTGTGTTAAAAGTATTCTACAAAGCATTTTATCAAACAAGTTGTGCTTCTGGCAATCAAGTCTTCTCTTCAGAATTGTTGTTTGTGGTGAAGCTTTCCTTGAACCAATTCAAGAAAGCCATCACTGGCATGCCATCTAACAGTGCCCTGAGCTCTGCGGTCCCTTATCTACCGGCATAGTCCTTTTGCACCTTTGTGGCTTTGGTGACTGCATCTTCTGCTCTACCCATAAAACTAGCGGCCATTCAAGGGACCTACAGGAACAACGTTAGCACAATATTTCAAATGCAAAATTGTGATCAAGAGGTAAGAACGACAGAAATATGGGAAGTTTACTAGCATTTCAAGTTTCTCTGAGAGAGAGCAGGTGTTGCTAAGGGTCATGATTTATTATGACCTCCATTTGAGGGTATGAACAGAGGTGATAATGGGGAGGATGTGTGTAAGCTACTCTGGTAGGACTAGGTTGCTTCTTTTTGCAGATTTTTTTTTTTTTTTTGCAGAGAGAGAGAAAGAAAGAAAGAGAGAGAACACAGCTGAGGACAATAACATAAAAGTATGAGTACATATGAGTGTTCACAATTGAGAACTCAATAAGTCATATTGGGCATTGAAATAGAATAATATAATATGGCAATTTATATGAGGTCTTGTTAATGGGATTTGTTCAGCACCTCAAGATCAAACAACAGATGAAAAAGAGTTTCAGGGTTCAGTTCATCTGTTTCATTGACCAGGATCTATGTGGTTTAGACAACCCCAATTCATCAGCAAAACAAGAAGTCTTTTCACTAAATGATGATTCAGTCAGCTGCTTAGTAGAGAATGTGATTAGTAATATTTGTCTTATAAGAACGAACTGATTCGTTGAAATATATTCTATTATATTTGTGGGTACATGAATATGTATATATACAATTTGTCAAGCAGAAGGATGAATTTGAGCAGCACATTCGTGTGTCATATGGTCTCTAACCATTGTTAGAGTTTGCAATTACAGAATTTTGACCAAATTCACATATTAATTTTAATTTTTGCATATCTTGTTGCTTTTCTTCACTGTCGGGTTGGTGTTGTCAACCAAGACTGGCCGGTATAAGCTAGGCCTGGAGCAGCTCAGAATAAATACATATCTGAGAGTTTCAGACATAAACATAATGTAAACGGAGCTGCAAAGGACGAGGCATAATAACATTTAGCTAACGAGCTGTGGAGTGAGGAGGGTGGAGTCATAGCTGTCTAGACACCATTATGTGTTCAGGCCTGGGAGAGTGCCTGGCATGTTGTAGACCTGTAATACAGTTGTTTGTTTAGTTGTGTGTACTAAGTTATAATTTCTCCTCAATCCAGAAAGACTGTCATTACTTTATTCCTTGTTCGTCATATGATGCAAGCCAGAGTTGCACAAAACTCAATACTCAAAAGAAACCACATGACATTGAATTTGATCAAAACCACGACGAGATAGCTAAATTATTTTATAGATTCAGACCCAAAGCTATTCCTCTTCTACCAGATAACTCATCACACGTGGAATGAAACCTTTCATTAAAACGTTTGGCAAGTTTTCTTTAGAAAATTCAAAAATACTACAAGGCAATGGACATTTTGGGCTTTTAACTCTAACCTTTCATGTAAATGGAAGAGAGCCAATCTAAAAGTTTTAATGATTATAATTAGCATTAATCTGCCCCAATGTTCTAATTGTATATTTAATTAGAAGAGTACAATTTTCAAAGGAGCTCGTGTTCTCAGGGAATGGATTGTTTATTGTGGTTCCAAAATAATAAGATAAACTGTGACAGGAAATGACAGGATCCTGGGTATTGTTGCACATTTTGCTAATAAGACTTTTGTTCAATGTAACTAAAAATGATAGAAAATTGATATTGCTTCTTTCTTTCTTCCTTTCTTTCTTTCTTTCTTCCTTTCTTCCTTTTTCTTCTTCTTTTTTTTTTTTACACAATAAACCATTCAGGTTTTTAAGGTATATGCTGATGGTTAGTAGGCAACCATTTTTTTTTTCTCACATAAATGGTAGGGAGTAAATCACAAAACACTGATCCATTTGATATTCTTATGAACTTTCAGCGATTAAACTTAGATTTTTAAAAATGTATTTAGCTATCTATAGAGACTACATTTGTGACTGTGATAGCCTTTGTATTGGTTTACACCCTCAACTCAGTATTTTTTCATAAATTAATATAATTAACTATTAATTTAGAACATTCATAAAAGTTTGAAGAACTACTGACACCTCAAGGTTAGATTGGGATGTTTAATTAGGAAGCATAACTCTTTTGCTTTGTTTAAAACAGCCTCACTGTGCTGAAAGGCCACAATGGCCTTCAACTTATGACCCTCCTGCCTCTGCTTCCTGAGAGCTGAAGTAATAAGCATATGCCATCCAAACTGGTACAAGACATGATTTCTTTATGTCTTAATTAGTAACATTCAGGGAGATGGTATTGGTTGTAACTTTCGCCTATTTTTACCTCCATTTGAGGGTGTCAGTCTGTCATGGGCTAAACAAACAGCTTTTTCTTTTTCTTTTTTTTTTTTTTTGTGGATACTAAATTAAAGGGTCCCAGAAAATGTACCTGTACTGAATATATTTGAAGCAGTAAAGCTCCTCACATTTAAATAATTTTTAAAGCATTGACATTCATGTTAGTGATGAGAGGTTACAATTTACCTGGCTGTATTATATTTTATTTTTTAACAAGCACACGTATCATAAATAAACCCTGTTAATTATTTCATCAAAAAGAAGAATGTGGTATTATGGTTAGAGTCAAAGATTTTGGCAAGAAGACTGTCTCCTTTCTGTAATTAGAAGTGGAAAATATCAGGTACTATTTTCTGTAACTTCAAATGGAGATTCAAACTGGTCACAAACTTGGTTTGAGGAATGCCAGATTTTCTGAGTTTCTGAAAAGACTTCTCTTGACGATACCTGGGACCTTAAGTGGTTGTCAGTTGGCAGCAGACAACCCATTAGGAACAATGGCTGGAATGCTTTCTCCCTGGCAGGAATATCTCCAGAGCATTGGCAGGGGTGAAACTGAGCTCCAGGTTAAAACTTGAATTGATTGGGGGAGGGGGCTAAGAGTCAACTTAGCCAGCTTAGTATTTACTGTGTAATATGTTGCAGTAGGCATCGTACTAACAAGTGGCACGCGCCAGTGAGAGCAGCTCTTGAACAAAAACTGTTTTGAAACAAGTTAAACAATTTATAACTGGATAACAGTTTCATTTAGAAAATGTCTTGATCAGTTTGACTGGTTAAACAGAACCTTTTAAGTGTATTTGATATACAGTCATAGAGGAGCTAACAACAGCTTATGGCCTTGACAAGGCATCTGTCTTTAGCATATTCATCTTCGAAAGTGAGCCCTAATGATAACTGTACTTCAAACATGACAAAGGAAAAAGTCTAGCCCATTTCCGTCTTCCGCCGTTCCTTGGGCATTTTCTACTTAAGGTGGTTTTGGTTTGCTTGTTTTGGTCTTTCATGTTAGCTTTGTCTCATTTTGTTTTGCTTTGAGAAAATCCTTCTGTATGTATAATTAATTCTCTCACGCTCTGAGATTATAAT